GATAACTAGTAATTCACCTTTTACCTCTGCTGCCTATGCACAGGCTTCCTGAGTCCTAATGATAAATCCAGCCCAGCTGCTAGGTGTCTCTTTTCATCTACAATCCTTCTATCACTCAATGTGGTTTTAATGCATTTTTGCCACAGCAAACATTACTAAATTAAAAAGGGAATTTCATTGTGGTTGCATAATGCTCAAACATAGCCTGTGAGTGATGTCCATTCTGTTGATGTCCAATTACACAGGTGGGCTAGTAGGCATTTTAAAGTTATTCTTTAAAGCCCTCCGAAAAGATCAAACCATGCAAAAGTCATCAGTTATGCATTTGTATTTTGACCAAGTAACTTATCTTGCCTGGTGAGTCCTACCATTCTGTTGTATCCCTGCAAATTTATTTGGGAACAATAGAAAATTGAAAACAATTTTCCAACCCACTGAAACTCCACCAGTTTGCTGAACCATTCAAATTTTTGTTAATCCAATTGTTCTCCACTGTGACATACAGAGATAAGCTGATCAGTTAAAAACTTATAGTATACTATTTAATATGAATGCTGATCATCAAAAACTCTAATGAATGAAAGTCACCAAGTATGTATACCTTAATTGCTATGAGCTGGAATGACCCTTAGTTATGAAACTGGTTAGATCAGCGCTGTCATTGGTATAGTAATTATGTGTGTAACTTGAAAAGGAAAGCATGTTGGTTACCAATGTTAAGTAGATGTCAGAGGAGTCATGCTAGGTTTGTGTGTACATCTTTTACTTCTGCAGTGGTGCCACTGGTAAACATCATTTTGCCATGTTGATTCCACACAGGTCTCTTTTCATGATGTTGTAAATCTATGTTTCCTTCACTTGCTGTATTTTTTACTCTGCCTCGGCCTCCCCCTCTTTCCAGGTCCTATTTCACGCTTTCCCCATCTCAGATCTTTTTCCTGCTCTTCAGGTACTGTTCTTTGTTTTCATTAGTTTTTGGTCTGGTGTTCTACATCCTTGCTTTACTATTATTTAACATAAGCTTAATAAATACGTAAACCTATGAACAATAATGTAATATATTGCAGCTTACCAGCCAGTGGATGTGGTGGGTGCATTCATTTTAATATTTCAGGCTAAGAATATTTTTAGCAAGTGCAGAAAATACTTCTTGATCTTGCCAGAAATGCAGCCTCTCTGTAATTTCCTGTGAGCTACAAATCACCCTGCCCCGCACGTGCTGGAGATGAAGAGAAAATAATGTGTTTGTAGTCCAAATCAGGAGAGCAGCTTGAGTGCATAGATACAGTGGAGGAGTTAGCATAGGATTAGCAGATAAAAAATAAATGGAAAAAAGCATAATAACTAATGCAGCCACCACATCTAAGGATTGGTAAACTGCAATTAGAGTTCGGCGAATAGAATAGCAAAGTTAATATCACAGGAGATTTGGCAAATCCAGGAAACAATCTGCTAAACCCGAACATCGCTATTGACATCTATGGGAGCCAAATATATATTCTATTCTGCTAAACCCGAACATCGCTATTGACATCTATGGGACCCAAATATATATTCTATATGTTCTATATAAAACATTATACCCATGCCCTTTTTTAAACAAAAGCTAGAAAAATGTTCTTGCAAAGAGGCAAAAAATACATGAATATATTATATATATAATATATATATTCATGTATTTTTTGCCTCTTTGCAAGAAAATTTTTCTAGCTTTTGTTTAAAAAAGGGCATGGGTATAATGTTTTATATAGAACACAGTCAGGGATTTGTCATTTGTGACAAGAGTAGTGGAAGGTTGTCAAGTTGGTGAGCCATCGTGATTGATGTGGATCTACATTGCTAGATGATCTGATTGGCACTGCATGTATATAGGAGTACATTGGTTATTTTTTCTAATAGTTTTTTTTATAATAATAAAAGACTTCATTCACAATGTGGATTTTTAAAAATTGATATTAACATATTTTTGTGAAGAAGTAACAATGTATTTCCCCCTTCAGACCCCCACATCCCTTTTGGGGAAAAGGATTTCCTATCGTCAATCAGGTCATCCAGCATTGTAGATCCATGTCAGTCATGATGACCTGCTAACATGATGAGCCACCATGCCTCACAATTTGTCCTCTGCTATGTCTGTCGCAAGTGACAGTTCTTTGGCTGGCTGCTGCATGTAAAAAAGAAAAAAAGACCAAGCATGCTGGGTGACATCATACACCAAATATGGTCATGACCATGTTCGGTCAATGACGACTTCCAGGAGCCACCGACTAGTCTGTTTAGAAGCACCAAAAGGCCAGGATACTGTCATTTTGTGGTGGTATTGGTGGAATTGCTACCTCAGCAGTGGGTTTTTGTGGGTGAGCTACCCAAATATGGCCAGTTTGTGTGCTAAACTGGGGATAGGCTGAGTTTGGATCGAACCCATGACCAACCCAAACCTGAAGCGTATCCATAGCTGCAATATATTACATTTTTGTTTTTAAATTTAGATATTAACACTCTACAATTTATGCATGTGCCTGTTTAGGTTTTATTTGCATATTCTTAAAGGTATACTATGTTGTTCCTTAGATACTAAAACTCTTCAACCAATAAGACAGGGAATGCTCACTTGTCCTTTCTTATGTTTTGCCTAAATGGTGCAATTGTAGACATAGTTGAAAAGATGTGTACCTTTGTCCGGTACCACAACATATTAGTATGTAAAAATATGGGCCTGGCAAAATTTCTTTTTTTACTACATGGTCCTGTCAGCACTACATGTCAGTACATAAAATAGTGAAAGACGTCTTAACACTTGAGTATGTTAGAACCCCTTAATTTGAACCTGTGTCATAATAGAATGTTAGGACATGTCACTCCCTGTACATTTCTTATATCCGGCTATGCACTGGGTGTCTTAAATCATCAGGTCTACCTTAAAGTTGGGGATTGCAGTTGCTCATCATGATGATTTTGCTAGTGCTTTTGATTACATACTACAGGGGGTTATTCAGAATTTTGCAACTTGAATGGCACCTTTAGCAGACTTAGTTAAGTCAATTGAGTCCTGGTGCTGAGAGGACATTGAGGAGTTGAAGCTAGTGGTGTCTTAGCATGTTACACTTTATTGCCCCCAATTTCAGGAAATATTTTTTTTGTTCAGACTGACACCTTTGTTGTGGGACCAGAAGCCATTGTGTCACCAGTAATCAGTTAGGACTTATCTGAGCAGAAAGCTGACACCTGCAGAGAAAAATATAATATAAAAATAAAAATACTATAAAAATATAATATACAAATATATAATATAAAATAATAATATTAATATAATATGAAAATAATATATAAGTGCAAGAGTATCTAGTGATGAAATGGGCACTGGAAGTATTATGGTGTCTTTTAGGTCATCACTTGCACTGACTGTTCATGTGGATGGCACAGGCCAAAAATAGACATGCCAGATTCTTGAGAAAGTTCCTGCAACATTTTCATTTCTTTGTGGAAAATTATGTTGGCTGAAGGGAGGGAAACAGGTATCCTCTCTCTTCCCGACCCACTGCCTGGTCCCTACGCCTGGGTTCCAACAGAGGAGGGATATGTGAAAGCCAGTCTTTGGGTCAAGTTCTAGATGGATATTCAATGTTCACAGGTTGACTTTCTAAGGGTAGTGACTTCTGCTTAGATTTTGGCACCTAGCTGGCACACCACAGTTTTTTGTTCGGAGATAAAGTTTTTAAATAGCAAATAGAGTCCACACCAAAACAAATGTTCAGAACTGCTGTCCTGTCTGCTGCTGGAATTTTTATGTTTCATATAATGTACCCTGGAAGGGAAAGGTTTTATATTATTGTTTGAAAGAATAAAAGTGGGTGAAAAAGCTGTAAACTTACAGCGCCTGTGGACGCATGGGTGTGTCCCTGTCTTTATTGTTTGTTACAAAGGTGTGTATTGTTATGGTTAGATTCTTGCCTCTTTTCTTTGCTATTTGACACTATTCAGCAAAGATAAGCATTACAGGCCCAGTGAAGTTACTGTCAGTGATGGCAGCTCCTATATTTCTATCCTGATTAGTTATTTTTAATATGCTGGAATTTGGAAAGGTTTTTAAGTTTTATTGTTGTTCACGTGTAAAGAATACAAAAACCCCTAATTCCTAGGCTAAAGTTAAACTTGCCATTTTGCCACTGTCGAGAAATGGTGGGAGCACAGCAGCAGAATACCCACGTGCTGAATGTGTCACTCTCTTGCCAGCTGGATGAGTGAGGTGTCGTTCTCTCACCTGTGACCTAACATTTGAAGCATTTTTGGCAGTGAGAGATGGATGCCTCATTGCCAAATCCAGCAAGGGAGTGCTCTCCTTGCATGTTCTAGTGATCCCATGGCTGGTAAATTCTCACTTGCAACAGGATCTCAAGTGTGACACTAGTGTTAGTGACTGACTCCTTGTAGACAGTACAACCTCTAGCATTGCCAGAATATCTATGAAAGCTCCCTGTCTTGTTTTGTTTTATGTGCCATTTGTTATGTAATCTAAGAGTTGTTTAATGCCTTTGTACATAACTTTTTTATGTTCTGTGTCCAAATCATTGCAATAAATAAATAGCCATAAATATTTCAAACAACGAAATCAGAGTGATAAACATAAATACTTATTTTACTAATTTCTCACTATAATAATTGTAGGTTGGTAGACATTATTACCCACTGGCTTCTTATGTCACTCAGGGACTTTATTGGCAAGTTAACGATGATGAATTCCCTGGCTCTGCCACTATGAAGTCTTAATAATCTTGCTGCAAGGGGAACAGTGATAGTGGCATGGTCCATGAAAAATAAATTAAATCTACAACAGTGAGAATGAGACTGCAGCAGCTCACCATACCTGCAAATATAGTTCCATAAAGCTTATTGCCAAAGTCCCTAAGATAATGGAAGCTGGTGATGGTGTTTCAGTTTGTTTGGCCTGTATCTTAAGTGATTATTATAGCTCTAAGTAGAAACATATATTTTTCTTTCAGTGATTTGCCATCTTCCTTGTATGAATGGAGGAAAGTGTTCAGCTCGAGACAAATGCCAGTGTCCACCTAACTTTACCGGCAAGCTCTGTCAAATACCCATACAGAATGGAAATGTTCAGAAACAATATATAAACCAGCAGAATTCAGTAAAATCAACTGGATCCCATGTAATTCATTCCACCCACTCTTTGCCTCTCACTGTCACTGGACAACAAGGAATCAAAGGTATGTTGTAGTATTACATGTACTATTTACTTGTTTTCATAATTTAACAGCAGAAAGTTAAGTAGCATGTAATATCATAATGGAAATTGACAAAGAGGTATTAATCTACTCATGTACATATGAATTCAGTATTACTTTTGGTCTTGAAAAGATGTTCAAGTGTACTGAGGTGTGCAGGCTTTACTTAATATATAAAAAATAATCTTGCACTAATACAACTCAACTGCTGCGTGCACTAATTAAATAAGTGAAACCAACAAATACTGAAAACTGGTGCCGTGCTAAATAAACACTTCTTCTTCAGTTGTGAAACAAAGTGAAATCAAGTAAGAACATATGAAAAAAATAACCATATAACAAAAGATAATTTGTAATCAGTATTTGTAGGTGTTACTAGTTCTCTCTAGGAGAGGCAGCCTAATGTGCCACCTTTTTTAGCAGAGAGGAAAAAAACAGGCATTTCTGATGTGATCTCCTGCATGGAATAGCCTTTGGTGCTCAAGTAATGTAGATATACAAAGGATTTCTACATCTATGTAGTGATATCTTACCAAGCATTTCCCAGTTCCTTTTCACGGTCCTGATGGAAACAGACACATTCTAAACTTTCTTTTCTGATGCACACCTAACCACTTGCTGGATCCCATTCCCTCACAACTACTATGATGCCTTTCTGCTCTGTCTTATGCTCTCTAACCTACAACTTCAGTCTCTTTCTCTCCAGTGGCATCTTCCCCACCTTACAAAATGCAGCCCAATACGTAGAAAGCATCTCCCTTCTCCCATTTACCTTCAAAACTCCTTGGATGCATTGTCTACAACAGCCTGACCCACCACCTCACTGAAAACAACCACCTCGACTCCCTACCCTCTAGCTTCCAGCAGCAACAGTCCACTGCTACTTTCCTCTTAAAACTCACCAGTGACTTACTATGTGCTAAAAACAATAGTTAATACTCTGTACTCATACTTCTAGACCTTTTTTCTGCATTTGATACAGTTGACCACTCAGCCCTTAAAAAACTCCACTCCCTTGGCCTCCAAGACTCAACTCACAGCTCAACCTACTAGTTCCCTCTCTCTCTTTCTGTAGGGGTCCCCCAGGGCTCTGTCCACAGACCCTTTCTATTCTCTATCTACACATCCCCCCTGGGTCAGCTGATAACCTCCCATGGCTTCCAATACCATCTCTGTGCTGAAGACACACACATCTGTCTGTCCACTACTCACTTCCTCAGTCTCATGAAGGATCACGAGTTTACTAACTGACATATAAACATGGATGTTGCATCTCTTCAAAAAAACTCAATCTTTCAAAAACTGAGCTTATATTTTATCACCCTGTGTCCCTTCCCTGAACATTCCCATTGAGATTAATCTCACAACTATCAGTCCCTCTACACATGCCAGCGTGCTAGGTGCAATCCTGGACCTATTTTTCAGGCCCGACATCCAATCACTGACCAAATATTGCTGCCTTAACCCCCTTAACATTTCCAAAAATCTCCCCTTCTTAACAAATTACACCATAAAGGTACTAATTCACTCTCTCATCATTTCTCACCTTGACTATTTCAACTCACTTCTCATTGGCCTACCTTATTACAGGCTCCCCTGCAGCCTACCACGAATGCTGCTGCTAGATACATCCACCTTACTAACTATTCAGTGGCCACTGCTCCACTCTGCCAATCCCTTAACTGGCTTCCAATAGCCCAATGTATTTAATTCAAAGTGCTAACAATATCATACGAAGCCATCCACAACTGCACCCAGCTGCATCACCAACCTTGTCTCAAAATATTATCCAAAGAGATCCACTCTGCTGATCATGAGACCGTTTGTTTTCTAGCCCGCTTGTCACCTCCTCCCATGCTCGCCTCCATAACTTCTCCAGAGCCTTTGCCATCCTCTGGAATCCCTATCTCTATCTATCCAACTACTTCCTACTCTGTCTGCCTTTTCCTTTTGCCTCTTCCTAAAAACTGCAGGGCCCTTCTAATCCTCTTGTATGACATTGTATTGTAACTGTACTGTCTCCCCTAATTTTGTAAAGTGCTGCAAATCTGTCATGCTTTTCATGCTTTATCTTGGACATTGTAATAGAAAACACAAGAATAAGACAAAGCTTAAATTATTTGTGGATAACTTTGCTATTCATTGCATGAGAAACATGTTTTTTTGTGCTAGGATGAATAGGACAATTCATATACAAACATTTGCACTTTGCATGTACAGTTAATTATTATTAAATATATATACAAAATAAATAGTATATATTACCAATAAAGAAATGTAATTTGCTTATAAAATTATTAGAAAGTTTTCATTAAACATCTCTTCTCTTTCTAGTTAATTTCCCGCCAAATATGGTTAACATTCATGTGAAGCACCCACCTGAGGCTTCTGTACAGTTTCACCAGGTGTCCCGGGTTGAAAGTTCTTCATCTAGCCAGAAAAAAGATAGTCAGATAGGGCAGACGCATGTTTCCTACCATGGTGTACAGAAGCATCAACTACCACATGCTGTATACCCACATCAGCAGGCAATATCCCACGTATATCCAGTTTCAGCTAAAACACAGCTTGGCCGCTGTTTTCAGGAAACCACTGGAACACAGGTAAGACTTTATTTTTAGTATCTGGGGTATTGTTTCCCAAATTGTATAGTTTATGAGATCAAATGTAGATTTGTCATACCAGTATTGAGGATAGAGAAGAGTCTGTGCTGAAATATAATTTTAGATTACCGTGGGGTGCCGAAGAGAGCCGAAGAATCAGCTGAAGCTACGGTTGGATCCTTCGGCTCCTTCGTGAATAACCCCCTAAGTGACTGTCCTGGGCCATTCAGCAAGCATTTATGAATAAATGAGTGCGTAAATTATATGCTCTTTGTAGCTGGAAGTATTTATGCTTACTACCAATGAGGAGAATGGTGGGGTAGTGGTGGGGGGTATTAAAGAGAAAATTATATGTGCTGCTGGGAAGGCAGAAAGTTGCGTCAACCTTGGTTTAAACATGGGTAAATCATGCTATAATGCTCATAGAGCTTTGCCAGGTTCTGCGTCTCTGCATGGACGCGTGCACGTTCACGGCGTGCATTGTCGCTTGCTCAAGGGTGGGTGTCGACGTCTAATTTGAACACAGCCTAAATAGCTCAATGGGCTATTTAGGCTGTGATGTCCAGTCCTCCTGTGCTGTCTGATTGTCAGCTACCCGTGTTCCTGAAATCCCTGTATCCTGATCTGCTCATCTCTTACGGACCCGGCTTGGCTTGACCTCTGCTGCTCTCCTACGTTCCTGAACCTCGGCTTGCTTCTGACCATTGTCCTGGCACCTTGCTTTCTGCCTATTAACAACCTGGCTTGTCTTGAGCTCAGCCTGTTTGAAGATCTATCCTAAAGTGCGTTTTCTCTGCACCTGAAACCTGCTTGGATCTACCTACATTACAGAGACCACTGCCTGCCAGACTCTTTATCTTCTGGCACTCTTGCCCCCTGCACCCCTGTACTCAATTCAGGTGCTCCGGGACCAGAGTTGTAAGAGAGGCCACCCTCATCACACCAGACTCCTCGAAGGTATGTGACAGTATGAGACAGCCATTACGGAGTTTGATAAGGGGGCCTCTGTCATGGAAGAACTGTGCCAGCAAATTGCAGCTCTAACCCAAGCTGTTAAAGGTTTACAAGAAGGCTATTTTCAACTGGAAGGCAGACTTGAATGCTTTTCTCAGACTACTGGACCTATCCCACCATCATCTTCTGCTTTTCCACCAGTTGCTGGAGCCTGTACTGCTGATCCGGCCGTCCACTTTCCTCCACCAGAACCACAAGTCCCCACACCTGAACGTTTCACCGGGGACCGAAGCAGATTCTGTGCATTCCAAAATGCATGTAAACTATATTTTATGTTGCAACCTCGTACTTTTTCCTCTGAAATCAAAAGGTGGGGTTTGTTATCTCACTATTGACAGGTTAACCCCAGGTCTGGGCACACCACATCCTAGAACAAGAAAACCCTCTCTTGAACTCTGTAACAACTTTTTTCGAGGGTATAGCATTGCTATATGATGCAATGTCAAGAAGCCCGAACCAGAGTTCGTGCTCAGTGTTGCTCATAGAGCTTTGCCAGGATCTGCATCTCTGCGTGGATGTGTGGTTCAGTCTCATCCCTGGTACTGCATTGGCTGCACGTTGATAACCTCGGCCTGTACCTAACTACGCTCCTGCTTCACGTCCTGGCACCTCACTGTCTGCCTGTTAGGCTTGTCTTGACCTCGGCCTACTTGAAGATCCATCTTTAAGTGTGTTTTCTCTGCACTTGAACCCTGCCTGGATCTACCTGCATTGCAGAGACCATCACCTGACAGACTCTTCGTCTTCTCGCACTCGTGCTCCATTGCACCCCTGCTCACCTGTACTCAATTCAGTTACCCTGGGACTGGAGCTGTAAGAAAGGCCCCCTCGTCACACCAGACTCCTCTAAGGTACGTGACAGATAATGACCATGCTTCCAATTTCTTATGGAGTAGGCAGCCCCAAATGGGGGGTTTCTGTACAGGCAGTGAGAGTCCACACAGAAGTTTAAGTTTTAAACTGGGTCACAACCAGATTTACTGGAATTCCAGCCTCAAATTAATGTACAAATCATCTTCAACATCCAAACAAAGTATGTGGTGTTTCAAAAGTATACAGTCAAGTAATTTGTACCAGGTAGCTGAACCTTCTGTCTGGCTTAACAAAACTTATTTTGTTTTTTTTAAATTACAAGGCTACAAACACACTCTCTTTCTTTTTCCTTTCTGACAACTAAACTGGCTTTCCTGGTGCTTCTCTCAAACCATGTATTGATATACACCATACAATACTCACACCAATAAAATTGTTGCTTATGTACAGTTACTTGCCCTTTTAACTATTTTATTGTTTTCGGTTAGCTTGAAATTGGTGGAAATTGATGACGTATTTATTTATTTAATCTTCAGAAAAGAGAGAATAACATAACATAACAAATAGATGAATTCCCCAAGGGATCTCTTCATTAAAATTTCTGGCATAGCTCTGCAAGACTTTATCCAGTTTCCTTGGGCTACTGTTGCTGATCCGTAGAACCCAGTGACAAGCATAAAATCAGTGATTTGGATTCTGTATAAACCTACATGTTTGTAAAAGTGTTCTGCTTGGAGGAAGTCAAATCCAGGCAAGTGTTTAGGTTTGCATAATTAATTGAGTCGGGAGACCTTCCTGGCTAAAATGTTCCAGAAACTGCTAAACTGCGTTCTGCATCTGTCTTGCTTTCGTGAATCTGTTTAGAAGCTTCCTATCATGATTGTTGAGATCTATGCATTAAATACAAGCACTATATTCTACCAAGCAAGATAGAGTTTCATTAGTACCAAATGTCTTACAAACTCTGATATTTTGTCTTCAATACAAACCATCAGATGATGTATTTTTGCATTTAAAAAGGACAGGGTGCTTGTTTCTGTGTGAGCTTTAGCACCTTCCCTTATATTTGATGTCCAGCAATACCCGGACAAATGTAAATTAAAGAGTATAGTAAACATCTAAAATGTGTTGCCTAAAAGAAGAGCCTTGAATGCAACCATTAATTGGACCATTTTCGTTACTTCTTCAGTATGAGGAAACTGTTACAAAAGATTATTCAGTTTTGTAGAACTATTGTGAGAAAAGCAAGATCAAATTTTTGCTTTTGCAAAACAGTTTTTTCTTTCTTTCTTTCTTTCTTTCTTTCTTTCTTTCTTTCTTTCTTTCTTTCTTTCTTTCTTTCTTTCTTTCTTTCTTTCTTTCTTTCTTTCTTTCTCCAGGGCACTGTGCTTTACTGTCTACCTCTGGATTGCACATACACCAAGGAAAAGATTGTTGGTGAATTGTCACTTTCTGAGTAAACATTGTCATTATCTGAAGGAAGTGCCTTTAGATACACATTTCTGATTAGATCACCAGATAAGTTTTGAATGAAAAGCAGGGAATACAATGAAAAGGCACCCCCGGTTGTTACGCCACTGGAAGGCATAAACGCTTTGACATTACAGGAATATTTGCAGCAACATCTTTTGTTTAAGTGTTTGGGTTCAGATATACTTTTATGCATTCATATTTGTATACTTTATTATTTTTTTATAATATTTAATGTTGGTTTTAGATTTTAGAATAATATTTGATCTTATTGTGACACTCACTGCATGTCTGTTCATCTCTGTTAACAATGAAGAAAATATCTTGTACCTCACTAGTGAAAAATATATGAAGTATATCTCAGTAAATCAAAATCTTGTACCATACAGCCAGCTCAGTATCTAGCAAAATAATGTATATATTGTCTCACAGATTATGACTTATACTGGAAATTGTGTAGGACAATATTACACATTTGTTTTAACACTTGAGACCAAATAAAGCATATCTTAGTTGTTAAAGGAGAACTATGGGGTCAGTGTTTTTCCCCATAGTTCTCCTTAGGGTAACGGGAGGACACAAACTAGCGTCCTCCCGTTAACCTAAGCTCAGTATACCGCGAGCTACAGATGACGGGATCCACCCAGCTGCGTGAGTGACAGCTGGCTCTGCCTATCTAGAGGCAGAGCCAGCTGTACCCGCCCCCTCCCCCGTCCGTTCCGCCAGTCAGCGCTGGCAGATCGGAGCGGGGAGAGGGGAATCCAGCCCCTCTCCCTGTCACGGCAGAGAGCCGTGACAGGATCGAGAGGTGAGCGTACCTGGTATGTGTTCGCTCACCTCCCGATCTACTGAGCCGACCTGTGACAGTCTCATTGTCACAGGTCGGCTAGAACTATGAGGTGAGTGAAAAGCACTCATCTCATAGTTCTCCTTTAACAAAGACACTTGATACACAGGCTCCAGTGTGCTGTTGCACTGAAATATGGTTTTCATGAAACATCCTCCCTGTCTCTTGAGCTCAGTGTTAGCACTTACATTGCTCTTGGAATGAATGACTCAGCTATTATAACTGATCAAATTGGCTGTGATCTAAGATTCTTTATCAGGTAGTATTAAAGACCACAGTTATTGGTTTCATGAGTGGTGGGTAACTGTAACCTTCAGGACCCTACTGTGTAAGTAAAAAATAGGGTTTGTATATATGAGCAAAGCAAGTCTTAAATAATGGCCATTTGTTTTAAATCTGTCTTCAGTAGTGGAAGTTTGTACCAGAATTTAAAGCATTGGCACATTCGATCACTAGTTTATTGTGTACACTTTTCTAGTACCAAGTAGAACCCCATTTGCGTTCAAAGATAAATTAGTCATAGCATGGATTCAAGAAGGTACCAGGGAGGCCAAGGATTTTTTTCCATTCTGACAATAGTATTAAACTAGGTTTGTCATATACTGTATATATTTTTATGCTACAAGCCTATTGTTTTAAATTCAAAGGTGAGAGGTCAGGGTTTTAGAAAATACTCAAGTCCTTTTTTAGTTTCAGAACCAGATTGAGATGATGTACACTTTGTGGCATGGTACAATATGATATCCTATCATTCTAAAACAGGTAGACTGTGACCATAATAAATACTCATTGTCAGCAACAATACTCAGGTGTGCAACGGTATGTAAATTATGCTCATTTAGTATTAGGGGTCTTA